ATATTGACAAAAACCGGTCATCGACCTCCATGTACATATGTAGGTATATCATAAGTAGCAACGTGTTTATTAGTCATCTTTTTAAAATTTTTATCTCTAATAGGGATAAAAATATCATCATTTTTTAAATTTAGTCCACTTATAGGTATAATGACTAATGTCTGCCCCGCCCCATATTCTAAATTCACTGATTTACTATTTTTTATGATATCATCAGTCAGTATCAGTAATTCGTTATTCACCTTTCATTAAGGTATCATAAATCAATTCCAAGAAAAAATATTTTCAATAGTTACCTATTTCTATGAAGCACAACTGTCGTCACCTTGTACTGTACAAGGTTACGTGATGTTGCAATCACACATGTAACGTATTATGATAAAATAACTGCTGTACATACAATATTTGCTACGTATATTACGTATCTCTCTCTTGTTATGTTAAATTACTATTTAATGGCCATAAAGAATTGAATACATCCTATAAAATTGCCGAGATTGACGGTTTCATTAGTTCCATTTTCAAAAACAAAATGTTTCTATTATTGTAATAAAAACTATTTGGTGGGATCGTCAGACAGACACAAAATTAAAAAAATATATGCCTTTAATTGATGCATACGACAATGGTACAACGGCAAAGCATACACGTAGTAACCTCCAAAACTAAAATGGATATTTAGAGTAGAAAATCTTTGTATAAAAAAAAACTTATTTCCGTATAAATTGACTAAGGAACACTTTATTTGTTACCATGGACGTCTATAGGAATTATATATCGAACAAATAAAAGCTTTTCTGCTCTGAAGAACAATTTTGGTTTTGCGGGTTACTACGTGTTTGCTTTCCAGCGTCGATATAAGTGTAACGGTATACTCGATTCTGTTCATGATTTCATTACTCATAATCCAGAAAGTTTATCATTGAGTCATCATAATGGAGGGAATATATTTTATACGTCCGAAAATAAAGATGACTACTATGGGCAATATTACGATAATCGTATAGCGTTGATTTTTTATAACGAATGAAAAATGTCTCTGAAATATTACTGACATTGCTCAAAGAATTGCTCTGCTAAAGTGATAGTGGGTGCCGCTGGATGAGGGCTGCACAGGACCGATTGTCATGGAAATCTATGGGGGGGGAGGCTATGCCCAGCAGTGGGCGTCTTATGGCTGACGATGAAGTTTTTCCCGCGACTTCACCCATGTTAATTATACTCTAAATTACACGCCAAAGTTTCAGCGTTTGTTGAAAGAATTTTCATGATCGGATTTAACCTTTCGCGATCAAATTAATTTGAATATTACCCCCTACAAATAAAAAAGGTGGAAACTTTACCTCTTTATAATATTATTAAAAACTAGCCTTCCGCTAGCGACTTCGCCCGCATTATCTAGTTTTAAGTCCAGAAATGAGAAAATTTCATAAAAACTTTTATACCCCAATTTACCTCGTTAGAGGTCGAATTTCGTAAAATCTCGTCTTAGTGCGCACCTTCGTCCTAAAAAGAACCTGCATGCAAAATTTGAAACTTCTAGCACTTGTAGTTTCCGAGATTTTGAGATGAGTGAGTGACCTTTCGCTTTTATATAGATAGATAGATGCGCGGGCAGGCAATAAGAAATCGACGTTACATATTACTTGTTTCTTAGCGTAAAATAGAACGCAAAAGTGGACAGAGAAGCCGCGGAATACCGACGCACACCTTTCGAAATCAATTTAATCGCGTGTAATGTAATAAGGTGACGTCATATGCGATAAAAATCGAAAAACATGTATGGAAAAAAAATGTGAATTTTAAGGAAGCGGAATAAGTACACAAGGATAGTGAAAGCGCTCTTATTAAGTGAGAATAAGTTTGCGACATTTATAATTTTCAGATTTATTGAATAAATTTTTTTTACTGGTCACCTTTTAGCTAACGCTTATGCGTATGGACTTGAGATTCAAATATTTAAGCTACCTATCCAACAACAGACTTTTAAGAAAGTTGTTTAACAAGCGCATTGGCATTCACTTTATTTAAATTAAAACTGCGTCATAAAAAATGATGTCGCTGACTCAAAATTTGACGCTTGTATTTACTCCAAAATACAATTAACTTTATTTTACAGTGTATATATACTTACTCGGTACAAGTTAGACAACCAAATGGGTATTGCCAAGCAAATCCTTTGGGACACTGGCCGTTGAGGATAATTCTTGAATATACACTTTCCATTATCAGGAAAACCAGGAACAATCCAGTCGGAAAGGAAGAAAACATTTTTTAATGATATCAAAACTAAATATCTTTTATCACTAATTCTGTGGATGCGATTATGTCGTGGCGTATTATTTCACTTAGTTTCGCTGCTGAAGAACTTTTTTATTCACACGTGTTAACGTTGTCAGTGCCGGCGCTTAACTGATTCGAGATTGACTCACCCAAGTGACTGTTAAGTAAGACCGGTAAAAGCCATAAAGGATTGTTTACACGGGGTCAGTGATGAGTCAGTGGTAGTGGTAATACGAATATCTTCTACTGCCTCGATTTTAGGATAACTGATTCCGTGTACCTAAACGATTACTAAGCTACTCTAATTGATAAATAGATGGCAAAATATCCAATAGGGATGACTGGGTAAAAAACAATTTTTATTTAATCCACAAGTCATATAATAGAAAAATATTATATACGTATTTTATTCGTTTCAATTAAACACGACATGGCTTAGATAATAGGCATTAAAGATGAGGAGTAGGGCTTATTACATCACAACTGTGTAGAAAATGTACAAAGATACGTCATGTGGTATTTCAACTTAATGTGTCGCCCTAATTTATTGGTTACACAATAAATGAAAAATCTACGCGTGATTTAATTCATATTCTACCTTTGTATAGACAACAGAATAGCTTAGATAATAGTATCTAAGCTATTTTTTGTCATGTTGTAACATAACGCACATCGGAAAGTAGTTTATTTAAAATCAGATACTGCAGAGCGATTCTGTAAAAATCTCGTTCCAAATTCGAATTCACTCATGTGTCCTATTTTATTTTTCAGTGAAGAAATGCTATTGATTCCATTTTTGTATAAAAGAATACAAAAATAAAATTTATTGCTTATACGTGACTCAAATATTCTATTGCTGTTATTTCGAAACTCATTTTACTTAAGCCACGAAACGTTATTACCAATAGGGAATATGCACATTTTTGGAAAATGGTTTTATATGATAATTTACATCGATATATAACTGTAAAAAAATACCCGGCACCGAAAAACTAAAATTTTATAACATTAACAATTGATGAAAATAAGTAATAGCTATGAGCAGTTTAAAGACCGTATTTTTTGGCGCGCTCGTAGTGACGTCAAAGTACACGACTAGAGATATGACATTTTAAATCAATATGGGTTTTTGAGTAATAGATTATTATTCAATTACCTAAATCGATTTTTTAAACTATAATAGACTTTTTTAATAAATCATATAATTTACTTAATTGGTGAAATAAAAATAAAAGCCCAAAACTCATTTAAATTGTAATCAATTGTTTATTTTGCGACATAATACATTGATGTTATTGCAGCGATGTTAACTTTTTGTAACAACGACATCCCTATACGTGTACATTTTCGTCACGTCCGCTCTGAAAAGTAGCATGTCGTTTAAATATTTTGAAGTTACCGCATTTATTTGGTACTTTTTAATAATTATTTTCAAGACGAAAACAAACTAAAATTGAAAAATATTTAGATAGAATTTATTCTAAAGCAATAACGATTGTAATAAAATATATTTAACCTTTTTTTGAATCAGACGCATATTCCTTATTTAAGATTAAGCGTATGCCACTTTTTAAAAAGAACTCGGAGACTTGAATTAATTCGAATTTGGCTTTGGATGTTTACAGAATCGCACGGCTGATTCGATTCAACAACTTCTAATACAGATATACAGATATTTTCTTTGATAAATTTAATTGGACTGAAGTAAATTATGGTCACCTGTAAACTTTACAACCGACACAAACAAAAACAATCTTAAATGAATGTAATAAGGCTTTATAATAGTTATTTAAGATACGAGTGCGGAAAGTAAGGTTTTACGAATAAGGACCAAATTGAAAACACGAGCGTAGCGATTTTCAATGCTTTTTGCGAGGAAATAAAACAAATATATAGGTTAATAAATCTAAGTATGTATTAAAGGTAAAAATTATTTGTTAAAATTAAACGTGATATTTGAACATGTTTTCGTGTCATACATTTTTATTTGAAAATATTCGTTCAAGGCTCCTTGAAATGCTTTTGTCTCTAAAGTTTGATACATTTTCATCAATTTTTTTTTATTTCATTGGTGCTCGGCCAAAAAAAAAATATAAAAAAATACTTTTAAGCACGTGTGCAGTAAAGGATTTCAGTACATTTTTATTTAACACGTGTTTAAAGACTCACTTTCAGTGTTTACAATGGATTAAAAAAATAGCGCTTTATGAGCAACTGCATTGAAAAATGATTTATATTCTTAGCTTGTAATAAAATACGACATTGGAAAAAAACAAGGAAAATTATATCTTTTGATGTGCTTAAAGTCTAAAATGTTCTTAAACGCTATGATGTACAAGTTCATAAAGCAAAGAGTAAAATAATTCATAAACAAAGAGAAAAATAACATACTACAGATAAACATGACAGTGGCAGTGGAGGATTATTTTTTTGGATATCATCGCCCTCTTTCCTTCATATCATTTTTATTCTATTTGTAGAAATTAATTTAATTACTTCACATTGGTAGAATTGTGTGAAATGCGCAGATGATAAATATTATTATTAGAAGAAGAAGCAGTTTATCAAATTTTTAATAACGTACAGTAAATACATCGAAATCAAAGGGTCAGGCACAATGCGGTGACAATGCGGTACTCACCGTGTGGTATGGTATAGCAATTAGTATTGCTAGAAACAGAATAATATTTCATGTCGTGAGTTTTTATTGGTAGGAAGGTGGTATCATTGTGGTATTGCGCTGTAGGTACATACATTTGTAGTTGCTGGCTAAGCCATAATTTGACGTCATTTTGACGAACGTATGTGTGGATTTATAAAATGTCCACACTGTTACCCAGCAATAAGTATAACAGTGACCACATACAAAATAACGTTTTAGTACATAAAAGTAAAATTGGAATTTTATATAAGGATGTGTGTTATTTCTGTTACACGTTGTATATACACATTATTTTTTGGTTGGATTAAGGCCATCTCCTTTACTATTTCAGACGTTCACACACTCTATAGAGATAAGCTCCCAGAAGTTGATGGCGGAGAAGCAGAAGAGCGACCTGCTTCTATCCAGGATGTTGCCGCTGCCGGTGCTGAGAAGGCTGCGAGCTCAGCGCACTGTCCCCGCGGAGTCTTTCGATGCTGTCACCATATTTTTCAGCGACATCGTGGGTTTCACCACCATATCAGCGAACAGCACACCCATGGAAGTCATCAATATGCTCAACATGTTATACAGGTTTATGCAAGACGTATAACCCACTGACTTATCGAGAGTTCAATAGATTGGCCATTTAACCATGTCAAGTCTTTGATACAGCTCACCACATTGACACGAGCCCCGCCTCTTTCGTCTTTCTTCATTGTTTTATTTCTGTGTGTGTAAATATATATACGAGAGGGTATCCAATAATAACCTGCATAGCATCGCTGTGGGCGGTGCTGATTTAGTGTGCATTTATATTGTACGAGTATTTTATAATATGAAAGTAGCGTTTTAATTATCCAATACTAATATTATATATTTAAAAGCGGGGTAAACTCGAGTTCGGCTTGTTTGGCACAATACGTTGCTATCAATGTATGGAAGCGAGAGTTATATCAGGTAGCGAAAAGTAGTCGAGACTTATGTAGAATTTGTAGCACAATGTTTGCAGTTTGCAGCCATAATAAACAGATAAAAAGTTGACCAGATAGTGTCAGTGTTAACAGATGGTTAGAAAATGTGGAAATGATGTTTGTAATGAATGATTTATAAAACATACTTAGGGTTAATCAATAAATTACGTCACATTTTGAGAGAGGAGGAGAGTGGGTCAGCATAGTGTGACGTAGTGTGACAAGAGGAAGAAATGTTCCTAAATGTTGGGCCATTAAATTATAAAATAACCATCCTTTTTAATCATCCATAAGGAAAGCCGAAGCCTCTGCACTGGCCACGTAAAATGGCCGATGATGACATCACAAAATATAATATAAAAACACTGAATTAGGACTACATGAAACCTTTTTAAAATTGACTTTTTAAGTGACAGGAATAATTAAACAAAACTAATATTAGAAGTGTTCTTCAAATACTTGTAAAATATCACTCTAGGAGGGTGGAAGTTTTAGAAATGTGTCAAGCTGTGACAAGGACGGGATGGTGTTAAAAAAATCACGAAATACGAGTGAAGTATTTATGGATTGGCCTATCGAGGGTAATTATCCGTAGTTTTAGAACCACTCGTATAATGAGTACTAAGTGAAAGGTGGATCGTTTCTTGTAACAAAATAGATTTTAAAATACAATATCGGTTAATATTGGGTACCCCTCATTTAAAGCTATACTTGTTTATTAAAAATGTTATTTTTTATTATATTTGCAGATTGTTTGACGAGAAAATTCAAGAGTACAATGTTTATAAAGTGGAAACCATCGGCGATGCATACATGGTTGTGTCTGGTCTGCCGCAAAGAAACGGTGATTTTTATATTTAATGTTTTGGTTCACATTACCCTGAGAACACGGGGAAATTAATATAAAAAAGTTTCAAGTTGTAAACATTGATACAATTAGTTTGAAGGATACAGTCATTCATTCATTCAGGACCTTTAACTGTGGAAAGAAATGTTCATTTAATTAAATTGGTGTCTGTGACAGAATAATTAACTATTATTTGGAACTATAATCTATTTTATAATTTATAAAATAATAATGTTAGTAACAGACCTCATTGCAACTGGCTATCTCATAACCAATAGATATTTTATATTATATTATATGACTTGAAAAATATGTTAAATCAACTTATCTATGGTATGACTAAAACTATACTAAATAAACCCCCCCCCCCCAATCGTTACCAAACAAGTAATGTGCCCAGAAGACTGCGGGCGTTTCCTCTTTGAATTGCCAAACTAATTATTTGGGCGAGGTACAAACCAGTTTCTGAACACCAGACCTGTCAAAATGTAATTGCAAATGTCTCTTTCATTGTAACTGTCTATATATTTATTTAATATGGACAATCAACAGCATATTTGTAACAAAACACTAATTATAATTCTTATCACATCTATCTAATCGCAACTCTATAAGTATCTCATCGCATCTGTCTATCTAATCATAACTGTCTATCTTATCGCAACTGTCTATTCCATCGGAACTGTCTATCCCATCGCAACTGTCTATCCCATCGCAACTGTCTATCTAACTGCAACTGTTTATCAAATTGCAATTTTATATCTTATTCCAACTGTCTATCTAATCGCAACTATTTTTCTTCTTGTAATTGTCTATCTAATTGCAATCGTATATCTCATCGCAACTATCTATCTTATCGTAAACTGTCTGTCTCATTGCTAATCTGATGGATAGGGATAGCGGATGGCGGATTGCGCATCAAATACGGTTTTTAATTACATGATTGCAATGCAATTGTTTTTTAATTTCCCACGCGTGTTCAGGGTTGTATCCTACAAGTAAAAATACAGGTTTCTGTTCTTTTGAAACACGTGTTCGGTAAATATCAACCATTTTAGCTGATAAATATATAACAAAATAAATTTTCTACTCTTTCTTTACTTTCAAAAAAGAAAATATTACGATTTGAAAACTTGAATAAAGTAGGGAAAATATATTAGTAAATATATTAGTAAAGAAAATACATTGGTTAACAAGTTATAATTGCATTTTTAACTTCAATAATCACCTGGTTGGTAGTGCGTTCATTAGGAAAAACGCAATGCGTGGTGGCGCACTAATTTTATTAAATAAAAAGTTTAAATTTAAAGAACGTAGAGATATAGTGAGCCTATCGGTTGAGGAAATAATAGAGATTGCCTGTATAGAGCTGGACCAGCTGATTGTACTGAGCGTATATAGACCTCCTTCAAGTTTAGTTTCTCATTATGATCTCTTTGAAACTGTTATGGATGAAGCATTAAAAAAGGTATATAGCAAAGGCAAACGATTAGTGATTGGGGGTGATTTTAACGTTGATTTATTAGGAAACTCCAATTCATGTACAAGACTTGTAAATCTATTTATGTCCTATAATCTTGCGCACATGTTTAAGGAGCCTACTAGAGTAACTGCTACTTCGTCCACATGTATTGACAACATTTTTACAGATCTAGTACCACTTTCAAGACAGATAATTAAACAACTACCGTCAGATCATTTTGGACAACTAGTTAGCTTTCCGCATAAATGTACGTTTGTGGCTAGGAGAGACATTACAGTTGTGTCAAAAAGTATGAGTCGCTTGGAACGTTTTAAAAATCAATTAGATAGTAAATTGTATCATTTGAAACATAATAGTAATCCCAATGATTTGTACAAAGATTTCTTTGATGTTTATTGTACAGAATTCAATAAGATTTTTGTCCCAAAAAAAATAAGTATTAGTAATCCTATAACTTTTAGTGTGTGGGCTACACCAGGAATCTACAAAAGCAGAAAAAGGCTCTATGAACTATATGATGAACGTAATTATAACACAAGTGAGGACTTCAAAGAATATGTACGAAATTACTCTAAATTATTTAAAAAAGTGTGTCGTTTAGCCAAATGTAATTATTTAAATGCAAAAATTGAAAATAGTAAAGACAAAGTTAAAATGACGTGGAATATCATAAATAGTGAAACTGGAAGAGAAAAATCCCGGAATATAAATTTTAATTTAAACATTGATAATAAAAAAGTAACATCAGATCTTGAAGTTGCTACAGTATTTGAAAATTTATTTACTGAAATTCCAGTCTTAATTACACAATCTTTGAATTCCTCTTCCACTGTTGCTGAATCTATTTTAAAGGCAAGTTTAAATAATTCTAATAGCCAATTTAAGTTTCAACACATTGATTTTAAAGATATAATAAAATCTTTTAATCAGCTAAAGAAAACGAAAACTGCTGATTTATGGGGTAATTCCATTGAAGTTTCTAAATCGGTAATTGAGACAATAGCTCCAATCTTAGCTTATATATTTAATGAATGTACTGATTGTGGTATTTTTCCTGAGCTCATGAAATATAGTAAAATTATTCCTTTACATAAATCGGGTAGCACATCTGACCCTACTAACTTTAGACCTATATCCGTGCTACCTACGTTTAGTAAGATTTTTGAAAAAATCATGCTGGATCAAATACAAACGTACTTTTACAAGAATAAGCTTATGAATCGACAACAATTTGGTTTTACAAGGGGTCGCTCGACAACCGAAGCCGGTGTCGAGTTAATACAAGAAATTTTTAATGCCTGGGAGGATTCACATGATGCGTTAGGTGTTTTCTGTGACCTATCTAAGGCATTTGATTGTGTTTTTCATGAAACATTGATTAGGAAACTGCATTTTTATGGATTTAGAGATAACTCATTGGATTTTATTGTCTCATACTTGACTGACAGAGTACAGAGGGTTGATATCAATGGCAAAAGATCCCCTGGATCGAAAATTAAGATGGGCGTTCCGCAGGGCTCAATACTTGGTCCTTTCTTGTTTTTGATTTACATAAATGACTTGCCTTATTTCGTAAGGGATGATCACGAAATAGTTTTGTTTGCGGATGACACTTCACTCTTGTTTAAAATTAAAAGAGGGTTACCTCTAAATGACGATGTGAACAATTCTATCGCTAAAGTAGTACATTGGTTTAATGTAAATAATCTTCTCCTTAATGAAGGAAAAACAAAATGCTTAAAATTTGTACTACCTAATGTTAAAAAAGTAGATATAAATGTTAATGTAAAAGATAAGAACATGGGCCTTGTGGATACCACAGTATTTTTAGGAATAACATTAGATTCTAAACTACAGTGGGGCCCACATATTGATAGATTGTCGAGTAGACTTAGCTCTGCAGCATATGCCGTAATGAAGATACGTAGGTTAACTGACATAGATACTGCCAGATTAGTATACTTCAGTTACTTTCATAGTGTTATGTCATACGGTATCCTATTGTGGGGAAATGCTGCCGACATACAAACAATTTTTGTGCTTCAGAAAAGAGCAATTCGATCAATTTATAATCTTAGGATTAGGGACTCTTTAAGGGAGAAATTTAAGGAAATAGACATTATGACTGTTGCTTCTCAATACATATACGAGAACTTAATGTACGTTCGTAAAAATATTAGTTTGTTTTCTATAAAAAGTGATGTACACAATTTTAATACAAGAAATAAAAATAAATTAACGGTGCCTGTCACTAGACTGCAAAAAGTTAATAACTCTTTCAAGGGTCTTTGTGTGCGCTTCTACAATAAGGTCCCAAGCAAAATACAACAATTAGATATCATGCAGTTTAAATCTACTATTAAAAAAATACTTATTAAAAAAGCTTATTATAAGGTATCCGATTATGTAACAGATAAGAACGCTTGGACTTGAGATGATCCAGCAACTGGATAGGTGATTACTTCTAAACTCATTATCTTGTTTCCATTATTATTAAATGATTATGTTATTATTATAAGACCATAGTTTTTTTTTTATCTCTGTTTATAATGTATTGATCTGGTAATGACATGGTTTTTGTAAATGTCATTACTCATATTAGAGCTGGTGAGTTTCTTGCTCGTTCTTCTTATCAGCCAAAAGACGTCCTGAACGAGTGGTAGGGAAAAAATGTTGGACGATTCAAAAGTACTTTTAAGAAGTCTATTTGAATAAAGATTATTTTGACTTTGACTTTGACTTTGACTTTGAGTAAAATTTGCTAAAATACGAATGGCATTAAATTAGTTACGTAAAATGTAACAACTTTCATTATGATAACTATAAAATGTAACAACTTTCATTATGATAACTATAAATATAAACGCATAAATAGCAAAGATGTTACAAAGATTGTCCAGATGTTTGTCACTACTTTAGTAAGGCGTGACGTCACTTCATAGCTTCAATTTGCAGGGAGCGTTTTCGATCGACGCGGACGGTCGAGTTACACAGAGATAGTATTTTACCACCGAAATTAATAATCGCAGACATGCTGATATTTTCTACATAATTTCTTAGTAACGAACTATTTATTTATAAAAATCCCGACTGCGTAAAAACGTATTTAAAAAAATACATGAAAGAATTAACTTAAATAAAAACGAAAAGGAAAGAAACAAGTCCAGTAGTTTAGAATTATGTTAAGTAATACAGAACAGAACGATTCATAGTCGGGGCCCTTTGGAAAGATTTGTTTGGTAAAATTTGAATGGGATTTTTGTTTTTCTTTAAATTATTTATTTTCATTTTATATTTTTTAGTTACGATTCGTTGACTTCGATATAAGATGGTAAATTTCGCAATCAAGTTATTTCATTGAGGGAGTTAATATCGTGGGGATTATTAAGTAACTTGCGGTGGTCTAAACTACTGATGATAAGTCCCTCTAGAGACCTAATTTGGCTCAAAGCTACATATGCTTTATTTTTTTACCAAAAATATTTGTTCTTCATGCTTTTTCACTTTTTTTTGTTTGTATATCGTTTATACTTTAACTTGACACTTTAATCAATAAGTAAGAAAATTAGCGAGAATGTTTTGTTAAACAACTTTAAATCGTTATATATCCTAAACTATTATTTAACATGAAAAATGATAAAAGGAATACATACATAGACTGATAAACACATTACCCTCCTTTGGTCGTACAGTCGGGTAAAAAAGGAAAAAGTACTAACCTATTAAAGTATTACGGGTGGATATTATTGGCCGACCTATCGTAAGGCCCTGTCGAGAACTACAGGGTATTGTAATAAATTTTTAATTGCATCTGTTTAGACAAATGTTTTTTTAGCAGTTAGATTATATTTCGATATAAATAAACAATAATTAATTTTATGATTGTTCGTTGACAGGTAATAGGCACGCTTCAGAAATAGCTGATATGTCGTTATCGCTGTTAAGCAGCCTAGAAGGGGCTAGTGTTCCCCATTTCCCTAAGGAACCTTTACGTATCAGAGCGGGGGTCAACACGGGGCCGTGCGTCGCGGGGGTCGTGGGAACCACTATGCCGCGGTATACACTCTTTGGGGATACGATTAACACTGCCAGCAGGATGGAGTCTACTGGTGAAGGTATACGGTATATAACGGATATTCATCATTAGCCCATTTTTAATTCTTCCACAGCTGAGTTGTGATTTGCCCGTGATAAGAAACGTGAAAAATGGGCCTTTAACTCTAGTACAGACTCTACAACAGAAGCAAGTTCGAGTGCGTAGTGTGCGGTGATGTTAAGCAACTTTTGCAGGCTGGACAGAGGATGGGTTACCAACAGTTTGTTACCTTCTTCGTGTTTCGGATCGCTAACGTCCACCACAACGCACGCAAACGCACACACACGCACACACACAAACAAACGCACACACACACACACACACACACACACACACACACACACACACACACACACCACACACACACACACACACATCAGAGTTTTCTATTTTTTTTGGGTCAATAAACGCTATTTGATTTGATTTATATATACACCAAGAACTGTTCTCTCAGCTGTAAAATCTCTATACCTAAGTTAGCACCTTATATAAAATACCAGTTTTTGATTTGTTTGTTAATTTTTTAGCTATGAAAATTCACATATCAGAAACGACGAAGAAGGCATTAGATGAATTTGGAAACTATGAAGTAGAGTCCAGAGGATTCATAGAAATACCGGTAATGTATAATATATCTTTAACTAGTTATCTTCCCGCGACTTTGCTCACGTAAATTGTAGCCTATAGCATCCGCGTATAAGCTCCATGAAGGTATAACTAATAAAAACAAATTCCAATTTTTTCTTACTTTTCTGGAGTTTCACAAAATCATACCAATAATATTGTTTATTACAACTTACATAATGTTTTGAGAAGCAGGTTTATTGTCAAATAAACAAAACATGAAAAATAATATTGATGAATTTACGCTAGATAGGAATAATAAACAAGTTATACATAATTAATTGACTAATATTTGAATGTTAGAAGTAAGTGTGAAATTTGAAACGCGTGTTACGTCTTGTTTACACGTGATAAAGTACATAAGTAGTTTTTCACTTAATTTTAAGTGAAAAAGTACGTGTAAACACACAAAAAAGTTATTAGAGCAAATTGAAATTAAGTTAACTGCTTTTGAGCTTAATTAAAATTACATTTTAACATGATAATTATTATTATGTTTGATCAATTTTGAATTCACAATGCTCTACTGGAAACAAAGTTGATACTTAATACTTATTTGTGTGTTTATACGTCACTTAAGATTAAGTAAAAAATCTATAATTACGTGTAAACCAGCCATTATAGAAAGTAATTTAGCCAGGTTCTTTTTGAATTCGAGTGTGAAATCTAGTTTTAAAAATTAATGTTTTATAATAATTAAGTAATATGTCAATTTTGTAGAATGTCATATTATATTTTTACCTAAATTTAATCTTTTTTGAAGGGAAAAGGCAACATGGAGACATTTTGGCTTCTAAACAAAATAGGGGACGTCCAACCACATAATAAATGTCGGAAGCTACACGACTACGATTCGAATATTCTAGAGCTATTGATAAGAAGTTAAAATTACCCATTTGTATAACAGTATTATGGATGTAATGTAATTAATAAATTAAATAGTTTCTGTTAATATTCGTTGTTAATTTTTACTAAAAACCATTGAATTATAAAGAATGTAAGAAAAATTGCTAGAATTCTGTTGCACAACTAGAATTAGTTGTTTTTGTTTAATCCGGAGCATAGATAAATAAGTAAACATAGATTGCTAACCGCTTCAGAAACAATAAGTATACGTATACCCTCGGTTTCAGAATTGAATATTTAAATTTAAGCACGTTTAAAACTTTACTTAAACGTCACTTAAATAGCTTTTTGTTTCTGATATATGTTTTTTTAATGATAAGTTGTTAAAAACTAGAATTTTTTGCCTTGTGAAAAGTAAAAAAACTTAAGTTATTGATAATAATCAGTTAAGATTATTTTTCTCAATACAGAAACTGGCCGATAGTATTAACAAATAGCATTATTAGATGTCGCCAGTTGTTTTATTACCAGAGAAATTAAATTATTTTTTCTCAAAATTAACAGAATACCGTTTATTATCATTTTATTTTATTATCTTGTAGGTTGAGGTGCAGTTTTTCGAGATATCTCATCAGCCAATCTAATATTTACTGATTTATCTATGTCCTGAGAAATGTTTTTTATGTAAATAATTAATAACTAACTCAAGCAAAGTTACTATAGTTATGCACATTTCTTTGTTTAATACGACCACAGAATGATGTTAACATTTGAACATGACGTCCCTGTTCAAGGACAGTTATTCCACTACCAATAAATCAACATGGATTTTATACATCCAGAATTTGAATAAATATACAATTTGACCTACTTTATTCTCTGATAAAGTAGGTCAAATTGTCTAGTGGTATTAGAAGAAAATAATTTCCAAATTATCCGCACAATTTAATGTTAGAATTGTATGTTACATCATTTCAAATGACACTGGCTATATATATTTTTAGATAATGAATATGGTGGATATTGACGTCACTTAAACGATTTTTTTACTTATACATTGGAAAAATATGTAATTATAACATAATTAACCGATTAGAATTAATAAAATTAATATGAATAATTTAAAAATGACAAAACACAATTGCCTAAATCGAACTAAAAATAGAACAAACAACTTGTTATGGCTTGGCTAAGCACAATTCTCATTGCAGATTACAAATGTTCCACAGAGCGATCTCCAAACTGCAATGCGAATTTTATTTATTCAAGCCATAATATAATTTGTTTCTTTCATAAAATTTTAACTGTTCTATTATAAATAATCTCTGTCACGTGTATTGATAACAAAATAACCCGTGTTTTCACCGAGTTACACTCAAACGAGTTAATCTACTCGTAGGGAGAAAAATATAAGAAAAATCCCAGCCAGTAAGTGTTATATGATCGGTTACAAGTGATGGTGAGAGTGATTCATTCATGCGTAAATACACACGCGCTTGACCTTGTCCCATCTGATATTATGTGGCACTACAGTTCAATTTTTGCTTCTGACACATTTCCTATTAATACATTAAGGCTCTCTTCTAGATACGCTTACGTTTCTATAAAAATACGCACATACACAAATACTCTGAACAACGATCCAGTAAAGAAGTATAACAAATAGCGCTCTAAATTATGTGATACAAATGAATTCTTCTTAAACTTTTCACTTCATTGATCTGGAATAACTATTTGTTTATTAAATGGTTTCCGCGCCATCTAGTTGCAAAGACACTTGTTACATAATATACGAAGCAATTGAGTCTGCTTCAAGCTGTATTTTGTTACGGCAATCTAGATGGCGCTATCGTAGTTAACATTTAAATAGAATTCGTAGCGCGTAGCGTCTACGGAGCTACGACGACTTCTCAGTGAGTCGCCGATCTGAAGAAATCGACATACTAATATAAGCTAAATATGTGTCATAAAATAATAACTTTGTTTGTTAGAGAGGAATATGAATGACTGCCACATGACAGGCCAATTTACGAATTGGTTTATCAATATCTTTGAATCAAGTTGACACAAATTGTTGTGCTGATTTGTGATGTCGCCTAGCAAAGTTCTCTAACATTTATTACCGAAAACAGGATTCAGGAAGCTTTTAATTATTTTAGTAAGTACAATAACTTTTATGAAATCTTAATAAATTAATACGTAGGTAATCCTTCATAAACTAATTAATACGTATATATAGAATTTCATTAAGCGAATTAAACTCTTAATTATTACTATTATTTGCTGAAATTATTATAGTATAAAGCTAATAAGGTGGCAAATTGCATGGCCAAAATTGTTTTTAAACACTCGCACACTATTGCGATTTAATTAGCATTCGTTCGGCTCAAACATAAAGAAATGGAAAAAATATGAATGTTTTTCTACCGAAAAAATTGAAAAAATCACGCTTTGGCTGTGATAGACCCCTTTAAATATGATGTAGTTTTGCATTACAGCTTTTTTTTTGTGCAAAACGAGTTGAAAGTTAGTGATTTTAGGTGTACGCGCTCTCTTAATAAACAACAATATTAGACAACACCAAAACTCAGCGATGTCCCGTGCAAAGGAGGGTTATGATTCGTCAAATCAAATCATTTATTAACTCAGAAAGGTGACTTGCGGTGTGCAAGTCTTTTACAATAAACATTTCAAATTAAATACAAAGGTCTAAATGATGCGAGTCACATCATTATAGGAACGTCAAAGAAATTAAGTATTTTAACAATTTCATGTTGGTTATATATTAAATAATATAGTCAAATAAATGACAAATTAAATTGTAATATATATACCTATTATTACAAATTACATTATACATATAAATATTAAAACTAACATATAGGTAATATATAATTTTATGTCATTAAATATTGATGATTCTTATATCTTGTCATCTACCACAGAGATTTATCTAGTCAATTTCCTATCTCACCCATCTTTATGTAGGAATATTCATCCAAACGCATAGACATAAATTCATTTAATGAGTATAAGGGATTTTGAAGAAAAAATTTTTTTATAGTTCTTTCTAATTCGTCATCATTCATGTTTGTTATACCGAGGGGGAGTTTATTATACATTATTTTATTTTATTATACATGCCTTGTTTTTGTAGTTATGGATGTCAATCTTTCTCAAATGTGAATCTCGTTCATGATGTATTTCTATTAAACATTTGTATATGTATAAAGATATAAATGTCATTATTTTATTTCGTTTTAAATAAGATTTGGCTGACGTACGCTTGCGCAAACCATTTATAATTCCTTATGACCTTTTTTGGCCTTTGAGTACACGGTTTGTATTTCCCCAGACTGTCACCGCATAATTGAAATTTTGTGCCGGTATATATGTAACACAACAATAGTTTATTTTGTTATGTTCAGTGGCATACGACTACGCTGTCCTTTGGTTATCGCTTATTTATAGCTATCGTTAGAAAATAAGTTACTTGTTTCAAACTTTTCAGAGCGTGATTTGGCTGTAGTTTTTAATTTTTGAACTTATTTTTTGCTCTTTTTAGTAATATTAGGTTGTTATACAACGTTTTGTAATATTTAAGTGATCACTGAGATAACACGAAGGGTTTCGCACCAATATCTATGAGAATATATAAATAATTATTTTAATCTGTTTAAAGTGTTGTTATAGCGGCAAAAATACATCAATTCCGTTTTTAGACTGGAATGGAACTCACAAATAAAACTTCATGTTAAAAAGTGGGTAGAAAGGTATATTAATCCAACAAAACCTCTTACTCTTTAACTGGGATAAACATGTAAACTGGTCTAGTAGATGAATTAAAGTTAAAGTAAGTTTGAAAAAAATTGTAAGGAATATTTAAAAATCTGTCTTCATCTCTTCTATTCATTTTTTCATTTTAAGTCATAGGAAATACTGAAGTTTTTTCATTTGTCGCTTATACAAAACTCAATTGTTTTTGATCTAGTACAATTGTAACGAAGTCTACACATGCAATCCATGTTTATCTATTGAAGATAGAAGCTGAAGGCGGTTTAGATAAGGAAAGTCATCTGTCCGGGCCAAAATGGCCGCTTTCTTTTGCGATCCGTCAAATCTATATGATTACTTGATTATGAGGTGCGAGTCATTAAAATGGCAATATCTTTAGAATTATAAATGGAAACTATTTCAACAATAATGTTGTAAACGTCGTTATTAAGTAAACTAACAGAATATGTTTCTTTTTAATTTGACATTACAAGTGCGAGAAGCATTTCACCAGTATCTTTAATAGAAAATGTGATCATTGAATAAACAAGCAAAATTCACTGGTAACACATTAAACATGGAAGCTTTATT